AAAAATACAAAAATTAGCCAGGTGTGATGGTGCGGTTATGAGGGGAGATATAGGGAAGCTATGCTCAGATTGACTCAAGGCGGGTCAGTGTGTCTGGTCTCGATGACAGTCTTGAGCAGTGGGCCATCTGGTGGTCTGGCTGGCACTGGTTCAGGTGCAACAGGAATACAGGAGGCACTCAGCATTCTTCCCAGGGCGGGACATGCTGCAAACTTGATTCCCTGCTTAGATTTTCAAGGCCACTTCCTGGAGTTCTTTACGCCAAGCAAGAGTTAAGTGTTATTAAAAGCCCAGCATAAAAGGAAAGGGGGTGGGGGGAGAAAGAAAAGCAAAAAAGAATAATTGATTTTCAAGATGGTGGTAGTTTCTGTCTCAAAAGCCTATTTTTTTTTTTTTTTTTTTTTTTGAGACAGCATCTCACTCTTTTGAGATGGCACCTTCCTCTTGCTCTGTCATCCAGGCTGGAGTGCAGTGGCACGATCTCCACTCACTGCAACCTCCACCTCCCAGGTGCAAACGATCCTCCCACTTCAGCCTCCCGAGTAGCTGGGACCACAGGCACGTGCCGTCTCACCCATCTAATTTTTTGTATTTTTTGTAGAGACAAGGTTTCACCATGTTGCTCAGGCTGGTCTTGAACTTCTGAGCTCAAGCAATCCACTCGCCTTGGCCTCCCACAAGTGCTGGGATTACAGGTGTGAGCCCTTGTGCCTGGCCAACCTTTCTAAAGCATCGATATAACCAGGCCAGCCTCTGATCAGAAAACTTCCCTGGTTTCCCATTGCTTATGGAGTAAAGCCCCAATTTCCTAACCTGGCTCTCCGCTTTAGGGCATGCCACCTATTCTCATGCACCCTCTACTCCTATCCTGTTATTCCCTGCATTTTCATATTTCCATGCCTTTCCTCGTGTCCTTCTTGTCCCCTGGAACTCCCTTCCCTCTAACATCCCCAAGCCCACCTCCTGCTCTTCTATCAAAGTTCAACCACAGTCCCTTTCTTGGCCTTCCTGATGCTAGAGGGAAAGCATAGCCAAATCCAGGCTCAGCTGCTCACTGCCCAAATGCCAAACACGAGACGAGAGTTGGGGGCCGAGTGCGGTGGCTCACGCCTATAATCCCAGCACTTTGGGAGGCCAGGGCGGGTGGATCACCTGAGGTCAGGAGTTCAAGACCAGCCTGGCCAACATGGCAAAACCCTGCCTCTACTAAAAATACAAAAATCAGCTGGGCATGGTGACTCACATCTGTAATCCCAGCTACTCAGGGGCTGAGGCAGGAGAATTGCTTGAATCCGGGAGGCAGAGGTTGCAGTGAGCTGAGATCATGCCACTGCACTCCAGCCTGGGCGATAGAATGAGGCTCTGTCTCAAAAACGACAAAAAAAAAAAAAAAAACCATAGTAAGACTAGGTCTCACTATGTTGCCCAGCCTGGACTCAAACTCCTGGGCTCAATTAGCCTTCCTACCTCACCCTCCTGAGTGGCTGGGACTACAGGGGCACGCCACCGCACCCAGCTCATAGCCCATTCTTGTAAAAGCATGCTCTTATAGTTCCTCTCTCAATTGTGACACCCAGAGCTGTCTCCAGGTCCTCTCCTGTCCCCCTCAGTTCAGTCTAGGCCCTCACTAATTTTCACTGTCTTTCACCTGGGCCGTCAGCACAGCCTTCTCTCTCTGGTCTTCCTACTTGAATGAAGGACTGACTCTCACAACCATATCGCCTCCAGCCGCTGCGGCAACAAGAGCCGAAACTCCATCTTCAAAAACATAAAACTAAACTAAAAACTAAAACCTAAATAACCTAAAAATAGCCAGCCGCACTCGGTGGGTGCTCCTTGTAAATCCCACGCTACTCCGAGGTCCTGGGGGCAGCGCACCAATTGCCTTGAACCTGGAGCCCAGAGGTTTTGCAGTGAGCCAAGATCACCGCCATGCCCCCTCCCGAGCCTGGGTGACAGAGCCCAGGATCCATCCTCGAAAAAAAAACGAAAAACAGAAAACGGAAAAATAACTTACCAGGCCACTCGGTGGCGCCCGCACCGCCGAATAATCCTCACGCGCTCCCTGGGGAGGGCCTAACGCGCGCCATACGAGACATCACCTGACCAAGGAGGCAGAGGCTTGCCATTGAGCCGAGAACAGCCGACACTGTGTACCTCCACCCCTGGGCAATCAAGAATCAGCCGACAACTTGCATCTCAAAAATATAAATAAATAAAGTAAATAATAATTAACCAGTCCATCGGGGTCGTGCCTTGCTAATCCAGCTACTCAGGAGTCGCTGAAGTCATGGCAGAATATCGGCTTTAACCTGGGAGGCAGAGGTTTCAAGTGAGTCCAAGATCTCACCACCTAACACTCCCAGCCTGGGGGGCGAACAGAGCCCCAGACTCCATCTTGAAAAAAAGAAAAAAAAAAAAATTAGCCTAGGGCGGGTGGTGGGCACGTGCCTGTATCCAGCTATTCGGGGAGGCTGGAGCCTAAGCCCTTAATGACTCTGAACCTGGGAAGGAGAGGTTCCATGACCGAGAACGCCGCCACTTGCACCTCAGCCCTGGGTCGATCGGAGTGAGAATGGCTGTCTCCAAAAAAAAAAAAAAAAAAAAAATCCGCTTGAGACAGAAACTACCCCCATCTATGGAACCATCAATCCTATTCTTTCTTGCTTTTCTTTCCCCCCACCCGTTTCCCCTTTTGATTCTTGGGCTTTTTAATAACACTTAACTCTTGCCCGTTGGCGTAAAGAACTCCCAGACCGTGGCTTGAAAATCTAAAAGCAGGAAATCAAGTTGCAGCATGTCCCGCCCTGGAAGAATGCCTGAGTCTTCCTGTAT